TAATCTTATGTGCAAGTGCAAAACATGATTTCAAATTAGGAGGATGATCGATGGTTGTTAGAGTATCATCGGATATATCCGATGACTTTTTTGTGCTGTCAACGTTTATCGTACTCAGAGATTATATTCTAATCAGTTTAGTCTCGGTCCTGAAGTCGTATCAAAGTATCATTACTGCGTTGCTCTGCACTGACAGTTATTACGCCATTTACTTAACAACACTAATCATTTTGTTGTAATTAGGATTCTGACTAAACCCTGACTAATGCAATGATAATGCCAACCCTACAAAGAGCGAAGCTTGAGAAAGGAAAGAAAGGTGGATGAACTTTTACTCTCAATCGTTGGGCATCTGCCGAATGCCATCCAAGCTTTTGAGTCAAGGAGGGAATGAGTCACTTTCTCCTGAGAACATTATTTCCCCACTCGAGTGCATTACAAGAATTCTCGTTGCCCTAAAAATACTCAACACTGCGAGGATGGTTGCTGGTAATATAACACTGTCACGGATCCCATACTACAGAGTACTAAAGAATTCAAACGCTTTTGTTATGAATATAATAATGAGGTTGACTATAATACTAATAGTTTCTCGAAGTGAGTTTCATGCATTTGTTTACTACCAGAACGTAAAATATTAGCAACGGTACCTAGCAAAAGTGAAAGGCTATGGTTGTTTGCTTTTGATCGCCTGGGTCGTGTAACCAGTGGTGTGGATCCCCGACATCGAGTAGGAGGAGTTACCACCCATCATGAACGGAGATATTTAGCATGACAATAGGACAGAGGAGCTCTTTGGGCATAGAATTACGAATGAGCATATGCTCGGGTTGAACGGCAACACCCATGAGAAAAGAAAGATGTAAAGTCAACCATGAGAAGAACTTCTGTTTTATCCCAAATGGTTCGTGATTTAGATCATGTACCAGCTCCACCAGCAGCAGTGGCCACTCACTCCCCTCCCTAAAACATACTTCAACGTATAGGTCTACAGTGGCTATCCATCTATCCATCGTTTCTACCCACGAAGTTCTGCTCTCCCTACTAGCAGCAGCAGGGGGCAATGGCCCACTTTTCACCTGCTATGTTGCAACCCTAAAATGTATGAACGGTGGGCCTATCTGTCATGGTTGACTCTTGTTGATCTATCCATCTTGTTCACTCGCTCACTCTCTTTCTTTGGAGTTTGTGTCACTTTGTGAACGTAGAATGATTTATGCAAAAATGATTGCTTTCTGCCGCTGAGTGGAATCGAATAGAGCGCAGACTTAGAGAGCGACTGCTGTACTGCCTTTCGGCTAACACATCCTGCGCATGTCTAAAGCTTCTCCGGAGGGAGGGAAAGCATTGTTATGAGTTTACCTACGAGTATTCACAGCCTTAAGATAGTAAAGTGTGATCATCGGCTACAGAGCATGTGTCAAGTTGTTCCTTGTGCAACTCACGTGGAAAGATAATGACTTTTCAGTGACTTATGTTTTTCTCATCCGTGCAATACGATTTCTTTTGAAGAAGATTCTTCTCTACAGTCCTCTCACGTTCAAAAAAAGAATTGCAGATTCCTCCGCATATTGGTTGACTTGTAGAGGTTCTCCCCTTGTGAATAATGTGTCTTTTGTTTAATGGGACCTCCTATCCTTTTTGCTATCTGACTCGCGCTTTGTGCAATAATTGTTTGTGTCCACTGCGAGCCGGGAATCATCTCGTGCAATGTTTCTGATGTACTCACTGTGATTGGATTAGGTGATGTTGGTAAAATGCTCGACCTATAGTCCGAAACTACGATACACAATGCTTATGCAAATTACATGAATGCAGATATTCGGCATGCAGAAAGGTACTGAGCATAACCTGATATGATCTTCCCATCCCGTATCTTACGAGAACGAAGGATTTCTTTTAACATCATTTTATGTCTTCATCAAGGTGGAATTCACATGGAATTTAATGACATCATTCAGGTCAATGGTCATGCAGGAAAAGAGTGAGAGACGATTAAGAAGATAAAAAACAATTGATAACCTAGTTGGTGCACATCTTGAATTTCATATCTTTGATTCTTTCAGCAACCCAATAAAATGTATAAAAATCAGCTCCTCAATCTAAACATTGATTCATGAGACAAGATCATCATGCATGTTGTGATGTGTAGTCTTGTAGCACTACATCCCAATATCGTGAATTCTGGTCATAAGGGTAAGATGGTTTGGCTATCATTGACATCACATCCATCAAACCAATACGATGCTGGATTAAAGATCAATAGTTGAGAAACTCATCTCCAATTTTGGTTATGAATATACATAGAATAAACGCTAAGACAAGTGCTACAGATACAGCAATGTCATATATTAATCGTTGTTCATTTGGAACAAAATATACTTTTCCATTATGCCCTTAGGGTCGTGATATTTGCTACAAGAGTGTGAATACGTTAATTGGGACAAATGGCGGTATGTCTTGAAGTTCATTTGAGGTGGGGTAGACCTATATTTAAGTCGAAAGGACAAAGTTTTTTTTGAAGATGTTGTAGTTACAGATCTTCGTAATTTTTTTATGTGGTAGTTTGGAGTGGATATTTATTTCTCATCTTCAGTAGACAAAAATGGTTTCAACAGTTATTAACGGCATTCATAAAATGCGGTGTGCAAAAAGATAAATTTAATAATAAGTTTGCTACTACAACCGGATGAGTTCAACCTTTTGATGGAGTGTGTTGTATTATTTTTTCTAACATTTTATAGATACAATATATCCATGCTACATATAGAATATTGGAGAGCCATCAAGTTAGATAATGATTCATGTGATCATGTAACCTAGATAGTTTGTATGTCTTAGTTGCAATATGAAATTTTTTGTGGGGTGATGTGAATGGTGTTGGCGTGGCGTGAGTTAGCCACATCATCCCTTTGATTTCATATATGTGAAATCTGATGGGTATTCCCATCCTTTTTGCTGAATTACTTGGTACCCATAGTTGTTAGTAATCCATAAGTGACTAGATGTGATAACTGCAAATGCGGGTCTCTCATATTATCCAGTAACAATATCTGTCGATTCAGTTGTGATTCATTGACTGGAGCCGAAGCAGCTATCCACAAGATACACGGTTGCAAGATGAAGAAAAATCCTCATCGCTTTTTGACCCTCAAAGTTTGGTCAGCTTATCCACCTCTCTGAACTACGTACACAATATTCCTCCGAGGTAGGAAGGCAATCTAGCTAGGTAACAAGGTACTGCCTCTTTCACTACGAAGTGGTTATTCGACAACATCTACTCCCCGATCGACGAGATTGCAAACCTTCGCACCGAAAATGACTCTAGTGGACTCTCATGCTGACATCAGGACTGAGGACATCAAGCTGTATATCCTACCTTCTTTTGAACCGGACCACATACCCTCTACCCTTGTACTATACGCTGTACGTACTTCTGGTTCAACGTCCTCTGGAATATTTGAGTTCTGCATATGCAGTGGTTGCAAAAGGAATGACGATTAGTTTAGGTCCCATCCCGCAGAACCCATTTTTTCCTCCAAAAGTCAACATTAATTCAATGTCTTGTGTGGAGTTCCGACTTTTGCAGCCACAGAACCCCGAGCGAGATCATGCACATCGGTAGAATACTCTTTTCCGACTGTGTTATCTGAGTTCGTAGACTGCCTCATTTGCAACTTTTGAAGGAATATAATGCGCGTACCGCATCGTGCTTTGATATGCATAAACCACACAGTGGTCTATTCCGCCTCTGTCGACGGAAATTGCGAGAGAGGATTATCGTCGTACAGTGTGTGCAAATCGAGATCTGGAAGAAATGCGCGGTGTACTGCAGAGGCAGGCGAGTGCATGAGCTGGTGTTCTGAGCTGAGAGTGGAAGACTGCTAGTGCCGGGGGGGGAAATGATCGAACCTTCAGTGGGGGCAGTGGGACGTACGGACGACGGGGACGGACTGACGCTGGGAGTACGAAGATGGAATTGTGGCGAGGGGACGGGAGGGGTGGGGGAGCGGGGGTCAGAGTGACGGACGGACGGCGAGGGCGAAGTCCTCCTGAAGCAGCGGAGCTTTTAACTTGAAACAAGCGAGGCGAGCAACGGTCCCGCAACGGCCCTAACGATGGCAGCAGCCGCTGAGATGACGAGCCCATGCATGTATGCCCTCGCTAGAGACAAAAGATCCGCGGCCAGCTGCACTCGCGCCACATGGCGCCTTTTTAGCTCCCTGGCGACCCCTTCAATGTCCCCATGTGCCAATGCCCCCATTCGGCCATCCCATGAAAAGCTGAACTCATGTTCCATGGGCACCCCCCGATGCCGCTCATGGTGCCATTCCCATCCCTGCTATGTATGGCAAGCGACCGAGAGAGGCCGAGAGGCCGAGAGCGAACGAGCGAGAGAGAGAGTGCCGGCCAGGATTTCCACCCGGATGATGGACCGATGTGATGTGACGTGATGGCAGTAGCAGTAACAGCAGGCAGGCAGGCAGGCAGGCAGCCGATGTGATGCCGGGCCGGGCCGGGCCGACGAGGATGAGGAAGAGGAGGAGCAGAGCAGCAGAGGAAGAAGAAGAAGAAGGACGCCCGGCCGGGGATTTCTCGCTCCCCACAGCAGAGTCAGGTTCACCCCACCCCACCCACGGTCAGCGACATCGGTCGGCCTCTGGTTGCTTTTGCGCGCAGAGCCGGTCGAGGATGGGAGATGCAGTGGCGTTTCTGGTACGGCCGCCAGGGTAGGGCAGCACCCCGAGGCTCGGACCGTTGTCCGCTCCTGCTCATGGCCCTGCCTTTTCCGTGCCGAGCCTGGCGTGGCCCGGGCTCGCTGCAGGGTCGAGCTCCTGGTTCTTTGCTCTGTATCGCGCGGTGCGTTGTGTGTGTGCGTGTGTGGGAGGGAGGGAGGGAGGGGAGGGCAGGGGAGGACGAGAGAGGGAGAGAGGGAGAGAGAGGGGGAGAGGGACAGAAAGGAGAGGTGGTAGAGTACCAGCCTGCCTTTGCCTGCGTGCCTGCTTTCTTCATCAGCGATGGAGCTTTGGCTGTGTGCGCGTGTTGCTCGGCTCTCTCCTTCGAAGAGGTCGCTGTAAAGCGAAGCGAGCGAAGGGAGAGGGGGGAGGGAGGGAGGGGAGGGAGCGAAGCGAGTCAGAAGAGAGAGTAAACGAACTGTGCCCGGCTTTGGCTTTGGCTTTGGCTTGGCTTGGCTTGGCCTGTCTGCCTGGTTTGGCTGCCTGCCTGCCTGCCTGCCGATTGATTGATGCATCGGCCATTGGCCGATCTGAGAGCGATTCGAGCGATTGAGGTGAGTAGAGGAGGGAGGGAGGGAGGGAGCAACGGGCCGGATAGACGAGGAGTAGAGTGAGCGAGCGAGCGAGCCAGCCACGCAGAGGAACGGGCGAGAGCTCTTTTCCCCTCGGACTGGAGAGATTTCTCACTGTCTGCGTCTCTGTCTGTCTGTCCGAGTCTCTTTGTCTGCGTCTGTCTGTCCTTTTGTCTATCCATTTATCTATCTATCGCCTTCGTACACCATAGCGTAGCGTTGAACGGAAGGCAGGCGGAAGAGTGAGTAACAGGAAGGAAGAGGAGAAGAAGAAGACGACGACGACTGACGGGCGACTTACTTTCTCTGCTGCTCTCTGCAGCAGGCTGGAGCCGAGCGGGGAAGCGCGTGTTTGTATGTTTGTGTGAGGAAGGTTTTGTGAGTGGGAAGCGGGCGGTGTGATTGTCTCTTCCTCGCGAGCGCGAGTTGGTAGCGGTGCCCTTTAGGCATTGGGAGACCTCGCTCGCCGTAGGGAGATAGGGAAGAAAGAGGGATCAGTGACGAGCCAACCGGGGCGGAATACCCTGAATCGCTCCGTTGGCTCGTGACATCGGGGAGTGCTCGATTGAAGTGGAGTGTCGGGGACGGGTAGAGAGGTTATCGATTGGTTGTTGGCTGGTTTTTTGATTGATGGAAGGTGGAGAGAGAACGGGGATTAGGGGATACGGATGAGAGGGAGGAGTGGAGAGGGAGACAGGGGACCAGACCGCGGGGAGGCTGCGGGCTATCGGGAGTACCGAGGGGAAGGGAAGGGAGCAGGATGAGGAGCATAGCAGGAAATTATGGACAAGAGAGGATCGCAGGAAGGTTGACGATGCCGGAGCAGATGGGAGGAGAGTCGAGAGTGGTGGCATTGTAAACAACAGACAGATACACCAGGTCTCCCGGACACCGACACCATCGTCGTGTATCATCGAACGCGCCCCTACGAGGGTTGATACAGCCGCAGGAGCGGAGTACAGGTTATAGAGTACTGTTGAGTAAGTGGTATGCAACAATTTGGAGCTTTCAGAGTAAAGGCCATCGATGTGCTCCGGCGGTGGGGACAGGAGGACGCACTGAGTGGCGATGCGAGAGTCGGATGCCCGCTTAAGCGAAGGAGTTGACAGAGGAGTGGAGTTATCGTGTCCATACTTGGAGTAAGTGCAAGCGGTTCGAGCTGAATCGTTCTGAACCGAGCGCCCAGAGTCGCAGACCGTAGGCGTACCCTATCTGCAGAAATGGGCTGTGTGTGTGCTAAGCAGGGGTCAGCTCAGGAGGATTCCGATAGCCCTAAAGAAAAGCAGGCCAACCTCCCCGTCACCACGACCAACCCCCGTGTTTCAACGAGACGGCCGAGTGTCAGCGTAAAAGTAGAAACCGAACCTGTTAATGGCTTCGGCGAGAAACCACCGGAGAAGCCGAAGCCTAGAGCTAAGCCCAATGGCACAGTGACGACGACTGGGGATGCCGACGAAGTTGTAGCCAGGAGACGGGAAAGGCTTTTGCAGCAACAGCAGGAGAACCCGCGTTTAAGTAATCCTCCTAAAAACATCGAAGGAGAACAAATCGCAGCTGGTTGGCCTGCTTGGTTATCGGCAGTCGCGGGAGAGGCCATTAAGGGCTGGATTCCTCGCCGTGCTGATTCTTTTGAGAAGCTCGACAAGGTACGTTTGCCTGTCCTCTTACTCCGTAGTATCACTTAGTGTATCGAAGTGCTAGCCTTGTACGAAGTAAGGACCCTCTATGGCGCCTCTCCTTGTGACATGTCACAGCCGATGTGATCTGGGCCCTCGTGCCCCCACTGTGATGGATAGAGAAAGTATGTCGCATCCGTCGAGGTGGACAGTCGCGGGCATTGAGAAACTCGACATGCATCATGACTTGTTTGTCAAGAGTAACACCCCACAATATGAGACCTCAAGCGTAGCTTCAGTAGAACATATTGCTTGTACTCGCACTTCTGTTTATCGTGGCAACGTAGAGCTATACTTTTACCAAAGCTTTCTTTGTCTGCAATGGCGTTTGTGTTTTGTGATTGGTTCGTTGACGGAGACGGTTTGCGAGTGTTCTGCGTTGTAGAACTACGTCGAATGCAGTCTTGTTCCCGGTTCTATTAGATCTTGCAGGTTTGGATTCATAGAAGTTGCAGACAATCGAAGCTTAAATTTCTTGAGATCAGGCTGGGAAGGTCAGATTGATTGAAAGAGGCACCGGTCTTTGGAGGCCAATGGCAGCCGGGTTGTTTTTGGGTTCATCTAGGGTGCGGAGGAGAGTTATTCTGAGCAGACATGCAATCTGAAGCTCTAGAGGAGCAGAAAGCTGTAAATTATGCTATTAGCAGTCACTGAGAAAGCTCTTTCTCTTGTGCAGATTGGCCAGGGTACTTATAGCAATGTCTACAAGGCCCGTGATCTCGACACCGGGAAGATTGTTGCTCTGAAGAAGGTGCGGTTTGATAATTTGGAACCGGAAAGTGTGCGGTTCATGGCCCGTGAAATACAAGTTTTGCGACGACTTGATCATCCCAATGTCGTGAAACTAGAGGGTCTGGTTACATCACGCATGTCTTGCAGTCTTTACCTCGTCTTCGAGTACATGGAACACGATTTAGCAGGCTTGGCTGCATGCCCTGGTATCATGTTCACTGAGGCACAGGTATGTTCCATAACGTGATTGCGATGGAAACATATTTCAATTTTCGTCATAATTCACTCCATATATTTTTATTACCTGCATGGTTTTTAAAAGTCAGCTGTATATGAAAGTGTGTTGGATAATGGCATCGCTCGGTAGACCTTTGCAGTGGCGAGTTTGGAGGACCTAGCGATTTGTTAGGGAGTTTTCAGTCTCCAGAAAATCTGTTGTTACTGTAGTTTATCTGGGTTTGACGTGAATGGGCCTATGTCAAGTATTTTTGCGATCTCTCTTTGTTGAGTGAATTAGCGATGAATATCAAGAGTATAGTGAATGGATTACATTTTCCGTTCCGATGGAAGTAAGTTATATTGAGTTTGTGGTAAGCTCTCTATTTGCTTTGAAAGTAAGGGTGTACAATGCTACCATTTTTCGACTTTGACGATGACGCACTCAAATTTTACATATGCATTCTTTCTGTGCAGGTGAAATGTTATCTGCAACAACTGCTGCGAGGACTTGACCATTGTCACAGCAGGGGTGTTTTGCATCGTGATATCAAAGGGTCTAACCTTCTACTCGATAATGGTGGAATTCTGAAGATTGCAGATTTCGGTCTCGCAACATTTTATCATCCGGATCAAAAACAGCCCTTGACAAGCAGAGTCGTGACGCTTTGGTATAGGCCACCAGAGTTGTTGTTGGGTGCCACCGAGTATGGTGCTGCCGTCGATCTTTGGAGTACAGGGTGCATCTTAGCTGAACTACTTGCTGGGAAGCCGATTATGCCTGGCCGAACGGAGGTGCTCATTCTGCCATCTGTGGGATTTACTAAGTTCTACGCATTGTGCCAGATGTATAGAGTCCAAGCTCAATTGCCTCCCACACTTCTTTTGCTGGCTGAGACGAAGACTGTCCGTTTTCTTCTGAAGCTTTGTCAGTGTCAGCAAACATTTGTGTGTCTTTTTTTTTCACAAACGTGTGGGGGTTGGCATTATGTTCTTGCCATTGTCGGATAATTTGGTTTTTGATGATAGAAGGCATGTGAAGATCTTCGTCTGTTCATAGCATGACACTTCTCTATGTGGTATCAAACCTTACTGTCTTACAGGTGGAGCAACTTCACAAGATTTTTAAATTGTGTGGTTCACCATCAGAAGAATACTGGAGGAAGTCAAAGCTCCCTCACGCAACCATATTCAAGCCACAACAGCCTTACAAGCGTTGTATCGCCGACACCTTTAAGGAGTTTCCCAACTCATCGCTAGCATTGCTAGAAACTCTCTTGGCTATTGAACCTGCCGATCGAGGCAGTGCTGCAGCGGCACTCAAAAGCGAGGTACTTGACATTTGATACAGCTTGTGATCACGAAAAACTTCTGAGTTGAAGCTAACCTCGAAGCTTTGATACTTTTTTCTCGCGGTGCGCTCCTCGCTCAAGTATGTTTCGATGGAGCAAATTGCTATTTGTTGATAATTTGTTTTCTCGGCTGGGCTGTTTTCAGTTTTTCACAAGCAAGCCGCTTGCATGCGATCCTTCAAGCTTGCCGCAGTATCCACCTAGCAAGGAGTTTGATGCCAAGATTCGGGACGAAGAGGCACGAAGGTGAATTAGCTATATGACACTTAAACTTCATAGTTTGAGGGGTTGAGTGGACTGATTTTTCGTTATGTTAACCTCTTTTGCTTATGGATTATCACTGAGTCAAATGCAAACCTTCAATATCTCCGTTGAAAACTTGTTTCTATTTTGTTTCGTCGAAGATCCCGAGTCATTTTTTGCAGACAAGCATATTCCCATAGCTTTCGGTCCCCTCTTCTATTTGGGTTATCTAATCACAGCGTTTGTTTGTTTGGTTTCAGACAACGAGCTCAGGGAGGACGAACTCGAGGCTCAGATGCTGGTCGGAGACCTAGTGGCCGTGATAGGATAAGCAAGGCCGTTCCTGCACCTGATGCCAATGCGGAACTTCCAATGTCCATGCATGTACGTGGTTTGTGCCTATATGGCAAGGGAAGCAATACGAATGTCGTCCTGTTGCTTCGTAGGATGCATCATAGACTTTATTTTACTCTATGTTGGAGTGCACTCTCATTTCATGTACTTGGGATATACAAGTTTGATAAGTTGCGCATGTTGTTGGAGAGAACGTAAGTTGTAGGTGCTTATTGTCGGTGGTGAAAAAGTTGTCCAACTATCCATAGCGGTTGTTTTCTAGGGTTCAAGTGTTTTCTGCTGTAGGCTTTCAATTGTATCCTTAGGTGAGTCGCTACTGTGGTTGGTACTATCGGACATGAGCACTTTTTTTAGGCTTTTATGATGGGTCCTTGGGCGAGTTGCTTGTCTGCCTGGTGTTGAGACACTTGGCTCTGTTCTGATATCATTTGCATCTTAATCATTTGCATGGTGGTTTCAACACAATCAGAAACGGAGGATGAACTCTCAAGCGAGTTCCAAGAGTAAGAGTGAGAAATTTGCTCCTCTTCATGAAGACTCTGCTGTTGGTTTTCCTATTGATCCCCCTAGGCAAGGACATATCACCAGTGAAGTACGCGGCACATCTCCAGTACCTCCTGCACGGCCGTTCGCCGCACCTTCCGTTTCCTCAAGATCAGGTCCTCAACCTATGGTGAACCCCAATTTGCCCGGGGCGTCATGGGCTAAGAAGCACAAGGAGGAGGACTTACGAATGGCTCCTCAACGGCCATTATCTCGGCCTACTAAGTCAATGACCGTGTCAGACTTCACTCAACAAGCTGGTTACCAACAATCTGGGGGTGATTTATCGAACTTTTCGAGTTTAGTGGCGGCGAGAAATGGTGCTCCTGACCACCACAGGGAGAGAGGTTCCTCAAGAAGAGACAGAGATGGCGCAGACGGAGAGCCCATCAAGCGTGAGTCGCACATCAGTAAGCGTGACCCGTCTGATAAGCATGATCGCTCAGACCGCTTAGAGAAACGAGATCATCGAACAGAGATGTCATCTTTCAAGCGTGATCAGGGAAGTGATGGTCCTTATCAGCGTGATCATTCCAATGCAGACTCACATAGAAGAGAGGGTCGTAAAACCAAGGATATACCCATGGTACGAACTTCAATCATTTGATTTTAGGCAAATTGAATGGCAACGAATTGCGTTCTATTCTTTATCCCAGGAAGTCGCCGATAGAGGCCTGGCTTCCATGTACGGGCTGCATCATGGTATTCTTCTCAGTGGTAGATGTTTTCTCTGGAAAACAGATATCCTCGTCATGTATGTTTGACTCTACTCTGCTGGTAGTCATGGACAACAAGATGAGTCCAACTAAGATGTTTTCTCTACAGGGAATTCCACAACATACTGAAAGGATATTCCATTCAGGGCCACTTCTCCATCAAGGGTATACTGCATCTGTAGATATTGAGGAACTTCTAGAAGACCATGAGCGTCAAGTGAAACAGGCTGCACGACGCGCAGGAGAGGTGCGAAACTCTTCTGGCCATGGACACAAAGGAGGCTGGAACCATGTTCGAAGCAATGGTGCAGCAGCCCAGGAGAATACTGATTCAGCCGAATCTAATGGTTTGGTGCCGACTAGTGGTCACCATTTAATCTCACATCAAAAAAGGAGCAAGTCACGGATGATGGAACAAGGATTGGATTCGAGGGAAGCAAGGGAGGTGAGGGATCTTGAGAAAGAGACTCCGCCCTATGGAAGTGAGGCCCATGTTAAGGTGCAAGAAGTGTAGGTTCTTTTAATTGGAAGATTTTCGTAACTCTGGTAATGGGTATTGTTTTCTGGCTCTCTTTGCATCCTGGGATTGCTCCAGCATGGGGGATATTCATGGGAGGATTTTGCTGCATGTGTAGCCTACATGCTGGCACTCCCAGCAGCCTAGTCCATGTACCAAAAGTGGAAAGATGCAAGAGAATCTAGCAAGCATGGAACCGTTGCTTACCTAAGGATGTATTCTGAGTGCCTACTTGTTCTCACTTACCATAGAGAAGTATTTCATTTATAACCCCTCTTTGTAAGCCGTATTGGCTTATCCAGTGTTCCACAAGGGTGCATAAGGGGGATACGATCCATCCTCTCTCTAAAATACCCTTGAAGTCACTGTCACATACTTCCCACAAGGAAACATAGAAATACCACATGGGCAAGGAAAAGGCCTGGTCCTTGTGGGTGCACTCTGCAGGTTGACGTGGATTGATTGTCAGCGTCTTTACATCAACTGCCGCTGGATATAGCTTTTGTGTACAAGATGTTAGATGGATTGGTGTATCTAAGAACGGTTTTGGCCAATGAAACTTGCATAATATTTGCTTCACATGCCAGTTTAGGTGGCAAGTAGTGTCCATCATCTTGTCTTACTGACATAGAAGGACAGTACTGGTAGTATAAGAAGGCTCTGCTAACTTGTTGAAGCTAATTGGGTAGTTGAAGGGACTTAGTGGGATGTCTCTAATTTGTTTGTACTTTTAGGCTAATTTATATTTGTGCAACACAAGTGAATGAATTGTGTTGGTGCCAAATTTACCATGTTCTAAGCAACTGCGTTCCCATTCTCTCTCTTGAGTTGAAATATTTTTCAGAGAGTAAAGTGGAGAAATGATTTTGGAATGTCTGGTGCCTACTCTTTCTGAGAATTATCCAGTTTAGCTGTGCCTATTCCTTTCGTTAAGATTCATCTTCTCTACAAGCCTTTTTTGTCCAGAGCTGCAGAGTTCTCTTTTCTCTTCTGCTATTCTCTCTCGTTGGTCGTCATTTTTCTCAAACAAGACTTCACTTTTTACAGCTCAGAGACATTGGACTCGTATTGGCCTCAAGTACTTCGCTTATGTGTGTACACCTGCCACGGAAGACTAAATTCAGTCTTAATGCCATTCTCCGCCTTCCACATCTGCCTTGCAATGTTTGATGACTTCAATTTATATTCCTTCTTGGAATTTGACAAGTTCATCAACTTTCAGTTCTTCTTGTGCCTAATCTCCTTAGTTGCTTGCTTGATACGGTTTGCAACTCTAGAATTTGTGATTAGTTTTGTTCTTTCCTCTTGGATTTCACGATCTGGAGAAATGTTCACCAGGGGACCCGAAATCCGACAGATAGTAAAAGTATGCTTCAGGGACGATCTGTACTCCAATGAAGTAGTGTTGTTAACTTCTTTAAAGAGGGCGACAACTTCAAAGGTAGTGACTTGTTGCGTACCGGTGGGACCACCACCTATCAGAGTTCTCACCAAATACAGTGCAGTTCTTAGCGCTAAACCTTCTCCATGCATATGGTGGCCTCTCCGGATCCTATCAGTATTAAGGCTTCCGATCGCTACCTGATCATGCGAAGACAATTACGGGAACAGAGAGACTATACTTCGATCGGATTTCCGTCTATCTCCTCTTTGACTGATATGATATACACTGCAAGCCCATGATGATTGGGACAAGCACCTCTCAAGTGGTATCTAAGATCTTATTGGCAACATCCTTGCCACGGAAGGGATACTTTACGATTCAACGTAATGTTTTCAGTGAGATAAAATTTCCTTATTCGAAATAAAAGAAGTAATCAGAAGATTGTCTAAACGTCATTGTCTAAACGATTGTCTAAATATTCGTAACGTCACATGGAAGAGAATTTCAGTTTCAATGTGCTATATTCATAATGGGTAGAGGATACAGTTGGGTGGGGAGTGGATTGTGTACCTGGTATGATTCTATGGGTTGGTGCGAAAATTAACCAATCAATTGACGGTGGATGCACTACTACGGGTACCCGGATTGTCCCAATCATGATCTGAAGTCAAGGGCGGGCAGTTCTTTCTGTTAAATGATCAAGCCAGTAGTAAGTAATATAAATATTCAAACAAAGAATAATATTAGACACTAATAAAATTCACGACCATAGTTTCTAACATTAAGCTTGTGTTTCTGTTACAGGTTCAAAAGAACCCATTGGAAACTGGGAATTGGATTGTTGGCCCCCTAGAACCATGTGAGAAGCAGGCAATCATGTATGGGAAGCCAAAATCGTGGAATACTTCCTTATTTCACACACAAGAACCAGGTTCTCAAAACCCCAAGCCCATTAACTAAGAGCAGTTTCTACTGCCCCACTTGTTGGCAGAATTTGTCATTAAAAGGATACTGAGTGTTTTGTACATATAAAAATTCACCTTTATTTATGAGGATTGTTATATGTATGATGGTAAATATACACAACAATGTTATTGATGGTATTTACTCACATCTTTGAATTTGATCATATAGTGCTGGAGTTCTCGAAAATAAATATATTCTTTGAAATCGTGTGTGCTTCAAGTAGTGGCTACATATTCATACAAGAAATGAGGCAATGAAGGAAGCATTACGATAGGTCATGATCAATCAGAGAAAAAATCGTTTTTCTCTAATTCGAATTAGCTCTTCTTCAAGCATTTCTTTCTCTTCTACTTGTTCTTTCGCACACTTAGAAGAGAATTGTTCGAAAGAGAATGGTTAACACAGATGTTTAATTACTTGTTTAAGTCCTGCAGATTCACAATTACCAATTATCTGTTCATGAACCTCATATTTATCAATAGATGATGTTCCTTCTTCAACAGTATCTTCTTACCTTTCATATCTCGATGGTTTGAACTTGGACTCGATTACTAATTTATTAGTCTTTGTTCAGTTGGTTTATTTGGAATGCTAGTGCATTTTGAAGCAAATTCATGTATTGAAAGACAATTCTATTTTGAGAAATCTACATGATTGCGTCTTCTGTGAAATTTTGGTGGTGTTATGCTAGCGTTGATTGAATAAACGGAAGCAAGTTTTGAGAAATGGTTTATTAGTCGGTCACTTAATGTTTCTTAGTGGAATATTGATTTATAGTCAGAACATAAAGTCCCGTTGAAGACAGTTGACGTTCATTCTGTGCACTTAGTGTACTTTAATTCAATGACAAAGTTGATTTACTCTTACCATCTATAAAGCATTTAAGTTTTGAGCTCAGTTCCTATGATAATTCTACTGCCAATTTCGAACCCAGTATTTTGTAGATCTAGCCATGAAAAGCTTCACTGGTCAGAAATTGATACCAGAGAAAATCAAGAGTCGAGGGTCTTGATGATACTTCAAGGCATGCAAATCTCATGAAATTTTCTGACATGTGTACCTTAAAAAGTATTTAAGAACTTGGTCAAGATTCTAAGAGGTGTACCATGTACGTATGTCATCCATTTATTGATGTGATTGAAGTCTTGTAGCTACACCTGATAGTCTTCATAAAAGATTGAAAGATGAAACGATTTGCTCTCACATCATCGGCTGGTCTAATTTCGTTGCAGGTTCAGCTAACTAATTATGAACAGAGTAACATAAAGTGATCCGCTTTTAATGCTTCAACTCTGCTCTTTGCCAGAGTATTGCAGACTTGTGCTAAACAATCCAATAATCTTGTGAGGAGGGTTTGAGAGATTCTTTGTGTACAGCTCCGGTTACGGATTTTAGGTGGATAGTACATGATTCAAACTAGATGATATCTACATAAATACATTCTTTTTCTCACATGTAAAGGAAAATTCGCGTATGTCTCTATTGAAGATCAGGTAAGTGGTGGAAGGCTGCTGCTCACCTATAAAATCATCTTATTACATTGACTCTTTCAAGGCAACATCTTGAGAAAGTCTGGGCTACTTGAAGTTTCTCTTTTGGCCATTCTGAATCTAAAGCTTTGCAGTGTCTACTGTATGAGAATATTGAGTCCCCGAAATCATCAGATCTGCATAATAAATCCTTACCTGATCGCATGTGTATTCGGCGAGCAAACAAATATCCAGGATGAATTTTCTCTGACTTGTTTAATCCGGACAAAAGCATGTGTGTCTGGAAGTCTTTGTTCTGTGTTATACTTCATTATAGCTTTTGATGCTCTACCAGGGTGTAAAGTAAAACAGAGGATACAGTAAAAGATATTATAAACATATAATGAGATTTTTTTCTGAATCGTTTATCAAAATCTGAAGCCATTTGCGGCACTCAGACCTACTTTTGAATATAGAATACAATATATTGGATCAGTTCACGGTAGGGAAGTTAATCTTTAACACTTAATGGATAAAGTCGGCTTAGAAATACCCAGTGATATGTTGATCATCCATCAATGGTTGCCCTATTTCTTTTCTTTCGTAATATTGAGCTGATTTTTTAAAAGGTGATAAAACTTATAATTAGTTTCCGCTCATTTGGAGAATTTATCTATACTATGATTTATCTATTCCCACCAAAGCCTCATGTTGCAAACTGTGGTCAAATTGCTGGTATCAGGACGAAACTGTGATGATGCATATGACTTCACCAATGCTATCGATTTGAATAATTTATAACCTCGGTGTGTTCCAGACAGAAGGAAACTTGAAACCGATTAAAGTTTAACCATTAAACTCATCACTCCCGCATTATTCTTCGAGTAATCAGAGGCGTAATATTCTTTTAGTACAGAAATAGTTTCAAAGAGCCAGATTCAGCATTCGACTACTTGTGCTACAGCCTATTTAAAACCCCCCCTGAGAGATCCCCGGTCTCGTCCACATATTTGCCATATTTCTTGTTTGTGCACAAGTACTGTCGTTACTACGGTACAACAATATCATTCCTGGAATTTTGTTTGCTTTTCCACTGTCCTCACCGATTATGTGTACCACTTCTCCTTGAACTTGTGTCATGTTCATGCAAAAAATGAATATGCTGCAAGACACATGAATCACATGGCTTGTGCTTCATAAGCTGTCAGTGCTTTTTCAGTTTATCTATTTAATTCATTACCACAAAACTCGAAGTGCAAGGAGGATGAGGGGATCCTTTCAGATTCTTGGTTTGATGTGTCTGGGGACCATGAGATGTCGGTGTTCCCAGATATGGACCATTCTGCACAAGCATATGCGATTATATCCGACAACATCCCCAGCCCGACAGACCACCGCTGCACAGTTGACCCGTGTACGAACTTTCTATGACGAACTAGTACAAGAGCAGAATCTAAGTACCGAAGTATCTAAAATCGGACAGCGCGCTTATTGTCTTCTTTTCCAAGAGTACTGCCTTCAGCTTTTCAATGTGATTATACCGCACAAATTTGACGCTCAACAACATACACTCATTACTGACAGTAACTCTTGATGTCGCAGACTTTCCAGAAACTCTGCACTGTCTATAGTTTCCAGTTTCAGACGCTGTGCTTTGTACTGTCAAGGTGCATTAGTTTCAGCATTTTGGCAGTTCTAACCTCAGCTAGTAATTCGGAACATCGTTAACGCCTCAAAAGGACAAAAGCAGAGAGATGTTGGTGAGAAACTTCAATTTGTGAAGTCGTGCGCTAGACATAGACGATGGGCAGTGGGGAAGAACACGAACAATGAGTTTCTGTTCATGATTCCAACTTAGAAGATTGATCAGAGCTTGGAAAGGTAAGAATATACAAAACTTGATCCGAGTCATAGAGAAACCTCTCCATTTGTATCTACTAAACAGCTACTTTTTCCTGGTGAGCTGTGATGCTGGATTGCAACAGCAAGAACATGTTGGGAGCAGGCCTGAAAGGTTATCTCCTGCAGCTTTCTTCTCTTCGAAGGTTCTGGAGTGTGATGACTGTGGTTTATCCCCTGCGGAATGAGGGTTTGATTTCCTCATAGATCAAGTACATGCAGTCTCTTTCTCGTGACACTCGTCCCGCAGTAAACCACAAAAGATGCCAGGCAGTCAGACAGACAGAGCCTGTAAACAAGAGGATAGCGTTTCCACCCTTCCCACGTACCCCTATGCAGGACGATGGGGGCACGATAGGTGCATGGCAAAAGAAGAGGTACATCAGACTGAGAAACGTATCTGCGAGTTGGGTCTTAGCTCAGAGACTGCAGGTCTTTACCTCATTTTGGATCTGGTATCAGGGTCGATGGAACAGAGGTCACATGAGTCACGGACAAGGTTGACGCATCAAACCCACCGCAGAACTTGCCTAGAAGATTCCCCTCAGTCCTTGCAGCCACTCGATCTAGTCAAACAGATCGGTCTGGACGGACATCAGCTCGACGATGTACAAATCACAGTCTTGTCTCGCAGCGGGAGCCTATTCGTGCAGGAAAGCGACCCTAAAGCCAGCACTGGCTGCCCCTGCGACGATCAGCCTCGCCGAATATTCATGGAATCAAACGGAGGTCGCAAGAGGTATTCTCCTCGGAGGAAAAAGAAACAACAAGAATGGATTATATTACAGACTGTCAGCGTCGGGCTCGTGCAGAGGGTTTGCCTACAGAGCCAAATCGGCCAAGCCGAAGGACCTTTCCACGGCAAGATTCCACGACTTGTACCGTCTTTCCCGACTCTCTTCGTCGATCTGAGGCGTGAACGTGGTGGGCTTGGCAAATTCATGATTGTCCTCGAAAATCTGCTCCTCTGTCCACACTCCCACTGCCAGGCCAGCGGCGTAAGCAGCCCCGAGGGCAGTGGTCTCGATGTCCGCCGGGCGCAGAACGGCAGCGCCCAGAATGTCAGCCTGCAGCTGCATCAGCAGATTGTTGGCAGAAGCGCCCCCGTCCACTCGCAGGAGGAACTCCTCGTCGCCGGCTTTGTGACGCGACTTCATGTCAGACTTCATGGCCGTCAGCACGGCGCGCGCCTGGAAGCACATGCTCTCCAGCGTTGCGCGGGCGACGTGCGCCTTGCCGGTGAAGCGGGAAATGCCCACCAGCACGCCGCGAGCGTCGTCGCGCCACCATGGCGCGAACAGACCTCCGAAGGCCGGGACGAAGTAGAGCCCGCCCGTGTCCGGCACGGAGGCCGCGAGCGCCTCGGTGTCGGACGCCTTGGAAATCAGCTGTAGGTTATCGCGAAGCCACTGCACCGCGGCGCCGGCGATGGCGATCGAGCCCTCGAGCGCGTAGTTGGTCGGCGCTTCGCGGCCCAGCTTGAACCCTACCGTGGTCAGCAGCCCGTGCTCGGACGGCACGATCTCGTCGCCCGTGTTGAGCAGGATGAAGCACCCGGTGCCGTAGGTGCTCTTGGCGTGCCCCTTCTTGCACTGCTGCCCGAGGGTCGCCGCGTGCTGGTCGCCCAGGCACCCGGCCAGCGGCACACCGGCGGCCGGCCAGCCCGCGGCCACCGCGCCCATCACCTCCGAGTTGCTGATGATGCGCGGCAGCAGCGCCAGCGGGATGCCCAGGCTCTCGAGCGTCGGCCGGTGCCATTGCAGCGATTTCAAATCCATGAGCAACGTGCGCGCCGCGTTCGAGCAGTCGGTGAGATGGAGGCCACCCCGCGCCCCGCCCGTTAAGTTCCAGATCAGCCACGAGTCGATGGTGCCGAAGAGCGCGTCGCCGCGGTCGATGGCCTCGCGCACGAGCGGCACTGAGTCCATGAGCCAGAGCAGCTTCGTGGCGCTGAAGTAGGTGCTGATGGGGAGCCCCGCGGTGGCCACGAAATGCCGGGCGCCGCCCGTTAGCTCGGCCTCGAGGCGCCGGCAGATGGGCGCCGAGCGCACGTCCATCCAGACGATGGCATTGTGCAGCGGGCGCCCCGAGCTCTTGCTCCAGACCACCGTCGTCTCGCGCTGGTTCGTGATGCCGATGCCGCGCAGCCCTGCAATCACCTCGGGCCCGACCTTCTTCAGCGTCTCCTCCATGCACACCCTCACGGTGTCGAGAATCTCCATCGGATCGTGCTCGACCCATCCGGCCTCGGGCATGATCTGCGTGAATTCCACCTGGTGCGAGGCCACTATGTGCGCCTTCGAATTGTACACCATGAACCGCGTGCTCGTCGTCCCCTGGTCGATCGCTCCGATGTAAGCGCCCTCCGCCATCGTTCCCCGCTCGCTCGCTCGCGCCCTCGGCGTCTTGGGCTGGGATGCACGAGCTCCCCTTCGCTATGCGCTACTCCGGCCTGCTCTGCTCCGCTCTGCCTCGAGGGGGATCGGCGGAAGCGAGGCGGGACGACGAGAGATTGGGCACGGGCCGTGGGGAGAAGGGCATCCCCGTTCGACGCAGCTCGCTTACTCTACCGAATGTGACCGAGGGCACCGAAGAAGCGCATTATCGGAAGCTCGACATTCACGCCTCCCGGCCGACGCAACGCTCGCCACCTCTCCCTCCGATTCAAGTCGAGGGCGCAATTTGTCGTTTGTCGTCACCTTCTTTCTTCTTGTCAGGCCAGGCCAGCCCGGGCCGGAACGAGACCGAGACCGAGAAGCAGGGGCCGAGTCGGGCCAGGGGATTGGAGTGGAGAGTGGCGTGGGGTGTCACCTCGTTGACTCCTCCAAGCGCATCCGATCTAAGTGCGACTCACCGTCGCCTTTTGAGGACTTGTGTCGCCTCGTTTCGCCTGGCCTCGCTCTCTACGGTCTTCGTCAATCATTCATTCCGCCCTCCCTACTCCCTCCCTCCGTTGACTCTTCTGAGTGCTAAAGCAGATTTGCTCGCTGGTTCCCACGGTACGAGTCTTTGCGACCTCCGATGTGCAGTTGTGGCGGTCTCCAATGGAAATTGGTTTGATTGCCACGCCTCCTCTTTGCCCATCTTCCTTGCCATCCAGAGAAACGCTGATATAATTCCCTCTCACACAAGCTTGTGCTATGGGGACACCTCGCACGTCCGATGTGTCGCTTGACTTGTTTCTCGCGTCTTGTGAGCTGCTCCACGCTCAAAAAGTTAAAAGAGCTGCTCCAGTTCAGTTCTCTTATTTGGGTGAGATCTTCCGAATCAACCGCGAAGGGAAAGAAGAGTTTTAAACTCCTCACACGAACTCACAGACGGAGGTCACCGGAGTAAAAGATTCGGTTTACGAAGTCTTCGTACATCAACTAGTCGTAAGACGTTTCTGACTGCCTCCCAGTGAACTGCCAAGCAGAATATGGGCCCGAGTTCCGGATAAGTCGTCGGACCAAAATCAACACCCTTTCCAAAGCTTGACCTTCCGAGGGTCCACCTTCCTCCGGTGGTCGCCGTCAAGACCTAGCCCTCCAGGCATGAAGCTCTGCGTCAAATCGAAATATTCTTTTTTTATCTCATATCATCAATTGAAATCCTTGTCACAACTTGGGCTCTGCTTTGATATCATACTCTGCCTGATAAGAAGCGTGACAATTAATGCCCCGCGTTAACCTAGTTTACCCACCCCTTACACATGGCTAGTTGCCTCACTCACCCGTAACTGGCCCAAGTTCTACCAACGCTCTTGACACCGACCGTTATCCTCTGACAGGCAGCCGAGTGCTCACATTGAGAAGTTGAGATTGTGACAAATGAATTCCAAGTATTTTGAGAAGCTATCTTGAAAACATCAGGCAGTACTTGGTGTACGGTTCCCAGTTGTCCTTCCCGAGGGTTTCTAGTTTCATTGCTGCGCCGGAGGCTATTGCAACACAGTAGTAGATTATCGGACGGAGTCAGGATTAAGTCGAGATGTTAAACTGCTGTGAAATCATGCTCTATGGAGGCTCACTCAACCTAAAGAGGAGAGATTAGAGCATATGTGGCCTTCGAGCAGGAGAGCAGTTCAGAACGCAACTGCTGCCGCTATCTCAGAGGTCGCTGCAGTCCTTGGCTCATGGACCGCATGTGCTTCCTCCATGTCGGAAACAGAAGTTCCCGTTTTTAGAATTGTCTTCACAGAAGGGAACCATTTCTGCATCTTTCCGAGCACCTCTACGGCTTAGCATCAATCGAAATGGAAGTGTAAGTTTTCACAGTAAACTACATCCACTTCGATTGATGTAGCTTATTGTGAAAACTTACCTTCCTTGGGGTTGAGGGATTTGTATTTGCAATCGGTCCGTTGTGGATCCAATTTTGGAAGCTGCATTATAGTAGTATAATCGTTGCACTTAATCGGAGTTATTTACATGAAGCGTGACTGCCTGCTAACGAAGGACAAGTTATGACTGTAGGTACTGTAGGTTGGAGCTCTGGGAAATGTCGTTACATAAACTACTGTAAGACATGAGCTTCAGTGGCAGGAGGATGGCTGTGCCAATTGGTCTAAACAACGACAGCATTTTAAGCTTCATCAGTTTTTCTTGTACCTCTGCTGAAACGGTCTCGTTTTGCCCTCACAACATTCACGTGAACCCGACAGAAGTCGCCTCTACCAGTCGACAAAAACCCTTCGACTAGATCTTCTCTTGACCTGAGGCGGGCCACTAACTGAGCCAAAAACCGTCAGCCAGGCTTTGTCCATGCCTCGTAATTGGCGGACTTCGTGACTTTGTGAAGCACGGTTGGAACTGATCTTCCACTATATCTGTCTAGTCCAGGATCCAGGCAGTCTATCTTACATTGTTTGCTGATCTTGAGGAGGGCAGATCATATGTGCTGATCCGAGCTTGTCATTGGTATGAATATACAAACCTAATAGTGTCTACATGTCAGGAGGTCACAATGAAGCAGTTTTGTTTTGTTTCAGGTCAGGGAAAGTTGTATCTCACTTGGTTGGGTGTTTGGAGAGGCGGTACTTGACAGATGTTCGAATCTTGTGTGTAATGTTTCCGGATTTCAGACGAAATGGGTCTGGGTCGTTGTGGCAAAGCTCTCCAGGGCTTCGTACAACAATGAGTTCGAAGTACAGCGCAGTGGGATTCCACTTTACAAGAAGATTTGGAACGGGTTGAGTTGTTGACAGTCATTGACTTTCGTCATGGAGGAAGTTAATACGTGCTCTGGCTCCGTACCACAATTGACAATCAAGTTGTGGCGTGAGGCTTCCGTGCAGTACACGGTGTTTATTGATTTCTAGGCATTCACGAGGTCCATCATTGGGGGTGACTACAGATCTGCGGACATTCTATAAATCGGCATATTGTGTAAGCTCCATCCATCAAAATCATCAAGAGCTGTGTTGAAATCTGTTGTGAGTTGTGTAGTGTGCAAGCTGAATCCAGAGTGTCCTAATTATTCAAAGCGATACTCAGTTTCGAAAGCACCTTCTTCGTTTCTGCAGGTTGAATTAACTTACTATTGCTAATGCAGAGCTCCGGGCTAACGTTACGTAGCAACAACGTTAATCAATCTATCTACTTGCTCATTTAGTATTCACGAGATGTCTAAGAAAGAACGAATGTAAGAACAGTTCCATCTAAAGAATGAATCATATATGGAATTCAAGTGAACGTATCAAAGGTGAAGTTGATGCTCATGTCGAATGATACAACTACTTACAAATTACTTACTTGATTCTCTTTATAACTAAGTCGATCTAGAGAATGTGACGAGTAATAAGTTGAAAGCCGGATATGTAATATTTGTAGAACTTGAATAAAATACTTGATTGTTTATGGGAACTATGAATGCAACCGGTATGCATAGTCAGTATATACCCGACTATGCATCTAATGTTAAATGATTCGAGCAAAATTGATATATTTTTCTAATCGAAATCACTTTGTTGATTTAAGTGATTCCATATTGGTATATCTTAATTTGCCTAAAACCTAGTTTATGTTATCACTTTTGTATGTACTTATAGTTTGTGCATATTTACATAATAGTGTTTTATATTTTGCAGTGAATTATTATTTTTATAATCGTGAAATTTTATAACAATTTGATAGAATTCTAAATCTTTTTTGTTCATTTAGAACTTAATTAGATAATACAAATGTGTTTATATTTATAGAAATCAAATTTTTTTATATTAGCGGATACGTGACATCATCACGTATACAAAATTTATACAAAACTATAAAAAATTATATACAAAATTTAATTATGTTTTTAATGATGAGTATTGAATCTAAAAGGAAAAACAAATAAATAATGGAAAGAAAACATGATCAATTATCTTGGATTAAGTATACAATAAGGTCAATAACTTGATTGATTAAAATTCTAAGTTGTGTGAATCTTTTAATCTTGGTACATGTTGAATCTATCTTCAATTAAAGAGCAACCTCAGATTTTAACTAAAAGTAATTAAAAGTGACTTTGGGGTATTAAACCCAAGTTTTGTTTATGATTCAAGATACTCAAAACATTTTCACACGTGAGCTTTCATGGTAATATTCTACGGTGAATCACATTGCATTGGTGTCTCAATTGATTGTGTTTATTGTAATTTGCTTTTTGTGTTTTATTGTTTGTGATTCTTTGTTAAATGTTTACATGGTTGTTTCAACTTATCATGTCTATTGTAATTTGATTTTTGTGATTCTCAATTAAATACTTACAATGTTATCTCGATTTATCGTGTTTACTGTCATTTGCTTTTTGTGTTTTTATGTTTGTGATTCTTGGTTAAACGTTGACAAATGATATTAGAGCTTGCATTTTTTGTAACAATAATTTTTGAAAATGTGACAATTTGAAACAAATTTGTGGTTTGATGATTTATGACAATGTGACATTCTGAAACAAATATGTGGTTTGATGATTTATGATGATGACAATATTTTTTGAATATAGGGCAATTGTTAATAAACCATTCCATCCATATCTAAACAAACGCGAAGTTTTTTTGTTGTTGGAGATTTTAATGCTCGAATATGTTATGCACAATTTATCCAAGTTGGTGATCTTTTGTCTTTTCATCCCTTTGAAGGTAATATGTGGTCTAGAAACTTTCATTATATTTCTGTAAATATTTGAACAAAACACTTTTAACCTTTGGACTCACATATAATTTGAAAATTTTCAACCGTATCTCTCTCATTTGCAATTCTCTTTCCGATCATGTTTTTTTTTTTGCAAGTTTTAACACTCTTGATTATCTTCTATCTTTAGTAATTCTTTTGTTTTGAAATTTGATATTCTAAAACCTTGACCAAAATTAGATTAGACATTTTTTTTATATACTCTCTTGTTATAAAAAATAATCTATCTCCGTAATCATCTTTAGTCAGTTAAAATTAAAATAAATGTTATTCTAAATGTTGATGTAGATATTTTACCTCACTAATCATAATTGTCATGTCAGCTATCCGTGCGTTTGGTATGTGCGTTTGCAACTGCTCTCTTGAGTTTCGTTCTGTTCTTGATCATCTGAACGTAGAATCCTGGCTCCTTCGATACAGCATACTTCTTTCTTTTTCCGTTCAAGTACTTCAACGATGGTACTACACTATCCTGCAAGAAGTCAGGAAATGTAACTTCCAATGTCTTCACCTCTTCGCCCGAAGTTTTCTGTCCTTCTTCGGGTCTCACTTCTTCCATAGGAGACGTCGGCAGTGTAATGCCTTCGACTTCCACCACCGTCCCTCCTACCCTTGCGACAACCTGTTCCAAAATCTCCTCGTTCAAAGTAAACTCCTTCTTCAGGTCCTCGTTAATCTTCATCTGGGGTGTCCCTTCGCCTTGCGCAGACCGTGTCCGCTCCAAAGACAAAGAAATCAAACTTACCAATTCTGTTCCCTCGACCAGACGCATTCACCCAGACAAGATCGTAAAAGATTCTTGCCCAATGTACGCGCTGTACCTTCAAAATGCGTTCGAAGAATCCCACCTGCTAGGCCGTCACATAAGTCGTGCGCGCAGCCCGTAAGATGTGCATGATCCCTAACGCGATCGCCATTCTCTTCGGATTCTTATAATCGACAGTCTTCCGTCCATTCGTTCCTTGTCTTCCAATCTCGAAGAGAGACCGGTAAGAGAATTCCTCGACACGCGTAAAACCTACGCTATTCTTGTCAAACAGAAGGTCTCCGTCGCTTCCCACACATGGTCCCATCACTTTCGTCCAATGCTCGATGGTCCACAACATGGGATTACCGCGGAGCTCCTCGCCTTCGGTCGCGCTCTTGTCCATAACCTCCTTCCAGATACTCGCTGAGACGCAATTCCAATTCCATAGATGGAATTCTAGCCGCAGTTCCCTCAACTCGTGTCTGAAGGGTCTCAATTCCTCATAAAGCACCTTCAAGGGAATCAATTTCCTCACCTTCTCACTCTTCTTGGGCGCCATGTATTCAATTTGCGCTTCGCTGGTCGCGGGTTGGTTCGATTGCAATTCCTCTCGCTCTCGATCATTCTTGCTCGATATCGCAATGTCGGCGCGCAGTCTAATCTTACTGCCTTTACCCTTGAAGCCCTAACATTGCCTTCTCATGCGCCTCGTAGAATTCCCGATGCGTGCGAACCTCGTCCGGCCCGTTGCATGATTTGAAATTGATTTCGATGTCTTCGTCGAAGATGCAGCTCTTTGTGTGTCCTAAAAAGGCTACGCCGAAGACGCGAAGATCCAAAGATCTTTGGACATAGACAAATTCTAACTAATCCTATCATACTACTATAAATCTACTCTTTCAAACTTATATAACTAACTTCTACACACATATGTTTATGTTTTTGTTAATTTTTAAAGAAAAACGAAAAAGTAGGCCTCACAAGATGAAGATGTGCACAAGACAACTTTTTGTACTAGGTATGTTCACTTTGAGAATCTAGTATTGACTTTTGGTCTTACTAATGCACAAACTACATTTATGATATTGATCAACGATATCTTTTGACTTTCCTTAGATAAATTTTTAATTGTTTTTCTAGATGATATATTAGTGTATAAAAAAACTTTGAATTATCATAGAGTTCATTTACAAAAAGTACTTCAAGTTTTGAAAAAAAATCAATTGTATGCCAAAGTTTCAAAATTTGAATTTGATAAATCAGAAGTAGATTACTTGGGTCATAGAGTTATAGCCACCTGAATCCAAATGATGAGTGAGAAGATAGATGCCATTCAGAATTGAATAGCACATGAAGATTCAACTTAGTTAAAAAGTTTTCTAGGGCTCATTGGATTCTATCGTAGATTTATGAAATGTTTTGCTTGGCTAGTTCAAACCTTGACTTCCATGCTAGGGAAAGGTCAAAAATCGAGATTTGATTCAGTTCAATAGTTAACTTTTCAAGCATTGAAAAATGCTTTGTTACACGCACCTATATTCAAGTGATATAATCCTAATCATTCTATCAAGTTGGCCACTTAAGCATCAGGTACAACGGTTATGGCATACTTAAACAAGAATGGGAGGATGGACGACATCTAGTTGTTTTTTATTCTCAAAAGTTGATGGTGGCTTAACAAAATTATCACACGACAGAACAAAAAGAATTAACCATTGTGTTGGAAACCAAATACCGGAAGTATTACTTGGGTGATAAAGAGTTTGTAGTGAAGATCAATCATGAACCATTGGTTTATTCTTAAACTCAGAAGGATCTGTCTAAAAGACAAATTCGATGAACAGAGTGACGTCAATGCTTCAACATGAAGATTGTGTACGTGGAAGACAAAAAGCAACTTGCGGATGCTCTCACATCCATGCCTTGCTTGAATCATGTTGCAGAAGTGAAGATTCAAGTAGATTGGTGGAGCAAAATGACACATGCCACAAAGTAGTATGAAGAGATCATAAGTACATTACAAGTTGGAAGAGCTTAGAAGGCTAGAGGTTTGGCGTTCTATAAATAACGTATATGAATTCCGCAAGATCTAGAGTTACGCACAATGATTTTATCAAAAAATCAGGATACATCCATTGCAAGTCATGTGAGAGTGGAGAAGACCTTGGAAAGCATCCAACGAGTTTACTTTTGGCCCAAACTACGAGAGTACATGAAGTCTTACGTTCAAAGTTGTGTTGCTTGTTAACAAAACATGGCAGGTAATAAAAACCTGCTAGTTTATTATAGCCTCTACCTATTTTCGAACAACGATGGAAACATGTCACCATGGATCTTGTATGTGAATTATCAAAAACTTTGTCAGCAAATGATTCAATGATGATTTTTGTGGACAAATTGAAGAAGATGATTCACATTGGACCAATCACAACAATAGTGACAGCTCCACAATTTGCTCAATTGTACACAATTGAGCAAGTTAGATGCTATTTTTGTGAATCATGGATTATGCAAAGTTTTAACCACTGATAGAGGTACTCATTTCAGTAGTTTTTTTTTGAAACTATATTTATTTTTTTCAAAACCAAAGTACCAATGTCAACAATTTATCATCCTCAGATTGATGGTCAAACAAACAGAGGTAGTAGAACTGTAGAGCATATGCTACGGGCATTCACATTAGAGGAGCAAGAAGAGTGGGA